ATCCAACCATTCAGTCAGGGAGGGTGTTATTCTCAGCCTCAATCTTGAGTAGCACGAGGGAAAATTTGCTAACTCTTACCTCTTTTGGGATTACTTCCCTGAGAGGCTGAGGAGGGTATTCTATACAATGCATTGTATTTCTAAGTTTCTTTTGCAAGATAAACCATGAACTTGAGTAAATCCTCGGGACATAATGGGTCTAAAGCTGTAGGTCCATCCATCAACTGAATCAGAGCCAAGCAGGGATGCTAAGAGGCAGATTGAAAGCAGTGCTTTCAAATAGCCTCATATGAACTATTTGTTGGACAAGTTCTAGCCACTTTCCTACTCAGGGAATTTCCATAAGCTAATCACATATTCCACACATTTATTCTCAACTTAACAAATGCCCATGTACTTATTCTACAGATTATTCACCTAAATTTAATACTGGACATTCAGGGCATCTGCTCAGTTGTAACTGACTATGGATAAGCCCTTGTATGCTTCTGGAGAAAAGAGATGGCTGAACTGAGGAAGAAAGGGCTGAAGAGGAGGAAATGTTTTCTAACCTCAAATAAATTAAAAAGAAAGACAAAAAGGCTTACTGGTTTTGGTAGCTGTGAGTGACTTATAAATTTGTAACAAGCTCAACAGGGTCTCTGCATTTCAAGGTGCATCTGCTATCCCACTGTCCTGCATCATGAAGTAGAAGACCAGGGTTTGTATAATTTCTAAGCATTCACCTGGGGAAGCACATATGCTTATTCATCAATACACTCTTGGGGTTGGCATACAATATACTACTCTGAGAGGTTTAGACACTTCTTTAATTGCACAATTCACTTAAATATATATTTCAGGATATGCATAGCGAACCCTTTCCATTCAAAGTACTGTATCATAATTGTTCCTTAGAGAAGATGATGCATATACATTCTAACTCTATTGCACCATTTGTTACAGAATTTTTAAGCATTTCAGAAATACAGTACAATCCCATTGTAGCAAACCCCAGTGGGACCAGGAGAAACAGCTACCCAAAGAATATTCACTCTAATAGGATTAGCTGATTTGCAGCACCAGTAATAATGGGGGGTGGGAAAAATCAGTTCCTGCTAGTTGGGCTTAATAAAAGGTTTGTTATAAACAATCAGGGTTGGTTATAATGAGGTTGCACTGTATTAAACAAGCCTTAGAGATTCCCAAGACATTCAGCCTGTTTCAAGGATGGGGAAGCTGAAATAGATAACCACTCGGTGCTGTGGACTGCACAGTTTACAGCAGCTGTAGTCTTCCAGTAAATCTACTGGATTTAACAGGGCCGCAGCAAAAGGATCGCTGAGGCTCTCTGAAGAGTAGATTTTTTTTAGCCAGTAAGGTTACAGTGATATATGTATTAAAAGAATATTTTCCATGTGTAGTAAAGCCTATCTATCAAAAAAAAAAAAAGAAAGTAAATCCTTGCATAAGTTTTCACCCCCCTAGCATGTATTAAAAAAAAAAAAAAAGCAAGTAACAATGCTTTAAAAAAACAAACTACAACAAAAACAATAACCCCCCAAAATGTTATTCAGCTGTACACTATACAAGAGTTTAGTTATGGATTAGCAAGGCAGCAAAATAGTATTAGAAATCAAAGTTGTTCCTGAGCTAAAGGGCACTAAAAGAAAACCAGATTGCTATTCTAAAATACAGGTTTTTTATACTACACTGATCTGTAGCAGAGTGAGGATTAAAGAAACGATGACCCAAGTTCCAGAAAGCTACTAAATTAATGCGTCAGCCAGATGCTTTTTAAAAATTGGTAAATTACAACATCTTGCAGAGGTTAAACCATGTCTGACAACTGAAAAGGAATTTTTCAGCTGTTTAAAACCTTGACGGTAAAGAAGAAATTCCAACACATTAACTCTAGCAGCACAAAGGATGCTATGTTCACAGAGCCCAAGGACTCTCTGATTACCACAGTATATGCTCTGAATGGGCAAGCCCAATTTTTAGTGACATGGCATGACAGGGTGATTACACTGCTGACAAGTAAATGTTTTCATCTCTCTCTCTCTCTCATTTTGCTAATTCTATGGGTCAGTAAGGATAAAACTATATGGCACTTAAAATCCATGTGTTTACAGATTGCCTTTTGAAAACTGTCTTCCCTCAGAAGTCTTTATTTAAAATCAGTGTGCATGCTTCCTTCCAGTGACTTACAGCAGATCCCTTTCTCACCTCAATATATGAATAGGGAATCCTAGGAGGTGAGCTTCTGGAACAGGATTTGTCTGGCTTTTTGAGAGATTTCTGGTACAAAACCTGGTACAACGAGTGTTTACTCTGCTTGAAGTCCTTTGCTACTAATGGTTTAGAAACAATAACAGCCAGAAGCTAGCTGCAAGATCAAGATTTTAATTACGCTGTAGAGATTTTTGCCATTCTGAGATCAGTGGGTGGAACTTTAGGTTTAGCTTTTCGGAGGCTTTTTCCTAATGCCAAAGTTACAATGCAGGCATTAGGAATTACTTATTCTTCTGACAAAAACATCCAGAGTACCTATCCAGTTTTATTTAACGCACTTAAGCTTATTCTTACTAGTTACAGAAATGTTTTGAAGTGTTACTAGAAACTCTCAATATGAAAAGTGCACTTTTAGGACCTTCCAGTCAATAGTCACATCCCTGAAAGATAGGTATTACAAAGAATGGAAAGCCAACACATTACCTTGAGAGAAGAAAGAAATTAAACAGTACTGTTTTGCTCTCTTATGCAACATAAATAAATACTTTTTTAAAACCAATCATCTAAAATAAAATGTCAAATTTACACCAAGTAGTAAAGATTAGCTCCTGCTGTACAATGCAAGGTAAAACATTTTCTGACACCTTGTTTTACTGTAAACGGACAGGCAAAATAAATACCGCAGGGTGTCGTAAAAATGTCTGCAACTATAATACTGAGAGGAAATGTCTTGTGCTACATTGGGAAAGTGTGTAATTCTTTTTCTGTGTTTAATTTTTTTTTAAAATTAAAGGATATTGTCAGCTTGAAGGTTTTTAAAGAACAGAACTAAAGAAATCAGGTTTGGAAAGACTGCTAATCAAAAACATCTGTGTGTCAGATATAACAGCCTTTGAAAAGAACGCTCTGAATTTCCTTCTTAAAAATGAAAGGTTGTGCTATTTTCCCAAATAAATTTTAAAACTTAAGGTATGTATTTTTGCTGAAGCAAAAAATTTAAACAATTGATTTCCTCTACTGGATAAACAGCCACCAGATAAAAAAAAAATTTATGAATGCACAAAGCAAACAAACTACAAAGAGGAAAATGACCATCTTCTCAGCTTCTTCCTGTTACAGCCACAAAAAGTATTATTTAACCATACACAGTCTTCATTGAGATTTTGATGTTGATGATGACACTTTAGCCCTTCTGTAAAAACATGTCTTTTTTGATGTAACGATTTTTTGAAAATTCTTATTCATGTGCTGGCTTCAGTTTAAGTCATGGGGATTTTTTTAACCTAACTAGGGTAATGCCAATTAAATGTTCACCTTTTGGTAGCTATCTAGTTTTTATTATTATCTCACAAATCCAACAAGCACTATTTAAAGTTTCACATTGAACTGCTGAGTTCTGAGTTCTTGCACTACTGCAAAGTTTAGGGAAGCTATTGCCTGTCAAATCAAAGTAATTAAAGCCTGAGAGGAAAATTAGGTTCAGATGGTGCAAATACATGTTGACTAGCTCCATTCTCTAAGACGTTAAATCAATTCCACCTAGCTGTGTTCTCTGTGAATTCTACTTTGTTTCACAGGGTGAATCCCTGAACTTGATGGACTTGGTTTATTCACAGCTCAGCTTCCTGCCACGTCTTCATTGTATAAGACTCTTTAATCAGTTTGCACTGGCTTACTTAATTGTAAATCTTGCTAAAAAAATTAAAAATTACAGTTTTTCTTACAATACATACAGGAGAATTTCAATTATCTCTTTAAACAATTAAAATATTTTCAACTGAACCCGCCAAAATGATAATCACTAAAATACATTTCTGCTACCAACAATTTTATAAAACAAAAAAATGATCACCAAGTAAATAAATGCGAATTAGGATAAATATTTAGATGTGCATATCCCCACAATTTATTAAATACCAACAATCTATGCTATTAACCCCTTCCTTTTTTGAAGTGATGCGGTAGCAGGATATATTTTTCTGTGATCCGATGCACCCCCCAATGTATTTCTTGACCTTTGCAGATAACTGGGTCTGCCTACCAATCATTGTGAGCATCATTAAAAATAGAAAAACAAGTTCTGTGACACTGCCTATCTAGGTGTTTAAATTAGGAGCTATCTCCTAATCACCCTGTGACCTAGGAGGGATAACAATATGCTAGAAACTAAGAAAAAACATGATAACGCCTTCAGTTGCCACCAGCTGACCTGACAAAAGCCAGAGCCTGTTGTTGGTCTCAGTGTCAAAAATAGACTTAGTCTGAAAGTAGCCGTGCACATTTCCAGAGTTATCTGCTAGTCAGTTGCTTTGTGAAATCCATTAAAGCACTTAAAATAATGGAATCTGGAGTTGGTATAACCTTATTGAAAATAGCTGCTGCTTTGACATGCTCTTGAAAAAGCAAGATTGTCAAGGCCAAGAAACAATTTTCAGAAAAGCTATTACTACATAAATGCTTTTGCTCGTGTATCTTCAAGATTGGCTCAAAATTAGCAGAGTAAAAAACCTCACCTCCTAGAGATACTGCTAAATATTTTATAATAAACATAAAAAAGAATCCCCAACAGATTCTCCTTATCCACATACAGCTAATCTATCCATTTTATAATATAGCCAGACACACAAAGATTGCTCCCCACTTCTCAGGAGAGATTTAATAGCTGTTAAGATGTTCTTAAATCTTCGCCATTTTACAGAAAATACGAAAAACTTTCACTAATCCATTATTAACAATTATTCAAATTAGAGGTACATTAACATTGTCAAATTAAATGAATGAGATACCTTTTTGGATCCATTGGCTTTGCTTCTTAACCTGAGTTTGTTCTCTTGCTCACAACAATGCAGTAATTCTCCACGCACCTTCTGACCATTTACCCAACTTAGCACTGTTCCACTGCATATGGTTTTCAAAAAGCAGTCCCGTTAAGTTAAAGCGTTGGCAGCTAGGAAACAAGTCAGATAACAAGTATGGGTTCTTACTGGCTTATCTTATGAAAAGTAACCAGATGCCTGAAATAGCCTGAAGTCACAGTGGTCTGCGGATTAGTTATGTTTCATTGTTACATATCAGTATTTCGAATTATTAAAATAAATAAATATACACAGATTAGAATCTTTTAGAGTTCCATTAGAAGCAAATTTTACTGGAAGCAATAGTTCTCATTTTTAATGGGCAGATTTTTGAAAATTGATTTCTTCTGCTGTATTTGCTGAAGTGCAAATTTCCTAACAAGGCAATCAGGACTTGTAGTAGAGATGATATCTTTT